ATTACTTTACTTACACTTGGTTACTTACACTTGGTTACTTACACTTGGGGTTTTCAAACATTCCACATACCATCAAATACAGTATGACCATCTCCTTGCGACATATCCCCCTCTTAAAATAGAAAAGCAGCTATATATTTTCATGAATAAAAACCCATTTATAATGTGAAAGATAAAATATCAGGTAACACTTTAATTTAGTGTCCTTGTTACATGTACTTCTTTGAGTAAATTAAATAAGCACATGTTCAATTAATATTATTCAGTACTTCGATAACCACACTGTTACAAGGACACCTTAAAATAAAGTGTATCCGAATATCATCATAAAAATATAATATTGAAAATATGTGTAAAATATAATCTGGAAATGATTTACTTTTTCTATAGCTTTGATGCATTTTTTTTTCTAACCAACATCATTGGTCATTAATGCAGTGAAAAAATTTTTACATTTTATTTTCATTTATTTGTTTCTATTTCCACTTTTAGTAATATATATTTTTTATATCACAATTTGTCTGTAGTTCTTTGCAGCCCTCTAGAGGTTTGAAAACCCCTTATTTGTTAATTATCATTAGCTTTATGCATTTATGACACTACATCTCACATTTTATTGTATATCTTTATGCAATAATTTACATGTCATACTAAGGTGAAGGCTTTGCTCATTAATACTGAGAACATGTTCTTGGAAGATTACCAAGAAATGTCTACACAACCCAATTAATAAGCACGCATTATGGCTTGATTTCTTGTCGTATTACAATGTAGTGCAATTTATCCCATTATAATCAGCGAGACGGTCTACACTGCGATTGCGACACAACCTGGAATTAGTCGAGATTCAATCGAGTGTCACGTGTAACTGATGTGCACAATTCATTTTTCATATTCCTTCCTTTAATCTTTCTACCTCTTTCCCCAACACTACTCCAGGAGCTCCGACATGCATCCAACAGATGGCAATATTGTGTCTTTGGAATCTCCTCCTGCCATGACTCACCTCGGTGTGAGAGAGCAGCACTGTAAACCCCAAACAAATGAAGGCTGAGTTAATCTCCTTCGAGCGGGGTGGTAATGATCATGGCTAATTGTGAGTGAGTGGGCAGCACTATTAGAGCAGGACACACAGCTCTGGCATGGCCGTAATCAGCACAGGCGGGGAGAGGAGATATAAAGCCCCATCATGCTACCTGTGGAGTGAGGAAGTGTGCAGCGTGCAGCTGGGACTGATACTCTTATACAGGCCGCACGGGTCCATCAAGGTTTGATCTTGGCCTTCCAGCACGCACATCATCCTTCTGCACTTTTCCTAGAATCAGATCGATCAATCTTGGTCTATTTTTTAAGCTTACAAAAGTCGAGTCTTGTTTACATGCTGAGAGAGGAAGAACTGGGACGTTATTGTTGCATCAGCTCTCGCTGACTCGCTCTCCCCATCTTAAGAGGTCAATTCACATCAGAGAAACACTAACAGATAATCTCACTCCCTTGGTCTCTTTCTTCCTCAACTTTCCAATATTATCCTCCTTTCAGATCAGATCATTCTTTTTCTTATTTAAATGTAAAGAGGTTCATTTCTATGTCATTAGAGCCATCAGAGGAAATTCCAATGATGCCCTCGCCTGCCATGTTTTAGATCAAGGTCTAAAGGTTTAGTTGTTTAGCAGCACTCGCTAGTCCTTGTTCGGTTTCCTCCATTGATGGCCAATCGAACTTCTGATTCTGTATTCTGATGATCAGTTTCACAAGCAGCATTTATTACATCCCTATTTCATCATATTATAATATTTTTCAACCAACCCTTTATAGGACAATCGGTTTGGGCAACAGATGAATGGACAAATAAATAAATTACTAATAAAACAAACACAGAGAACAAACAAAACAATATAGCAGAGATGGATTTAAATGCTACAACTGAATTTTGGCATCACAACATCTTTAATACACAACTTTAATACTTGCATGGTTGCAAGTTAAAAATTCGAATTATTACATTAAAGGGTTAGTTCACCCAAAAATTAAAATTCTGTCATTAATTACTCACCCTCGTGTTGTTCCAAACCCGTAAGACCTTCGTTCATCTTTGGAACACAATTTTTGATGAAATCTGAGGGCTGTCTGACTCACCCATAGACAGCAAGGTAACTACCACGTTCAAGGTCCAGAAAAGTACCAAGATGATCGACAAAGTAGTCTGTGTGACATCAGTGGTTCAACTGTAAAGTTACAAGCTACGAGAAAAATTTTTTGCGCAAAGAAAACAAAAATAACTTTATTCCACATTTTCGTCTCTACTGCGTCACTTTGGACACGTGTTCACGACAGTACCATGACGCGAGCGTGTGGCGGTGCTGACCCCGGTGTGTCCACAAGTGTAATGTCTATTGTGTTGTAATAACTTAGTAATAACTTCTATAACGTCTAATAACTAGTCCCCAGCATGCTTTACATATGATTGGAGAAGAATAAATGTTGAAATTAAATGTTATTTTATGTGATTTTTGTACAATGTGATTTTTTTTTTTAGCAAAGGAAAAAAAAACAATTTAAAAGTGTTGAAGTTTTTGTGGTTACTGTTGTGCTGAAGAGAAGGTAAACTCTACTCTGACTCTATATGAACAATGACAGTGCTAATGCAGTAACAAGTAATATCTTACTAGTTCATTACATTTACATGTTAAATAAGTTACAATTAGCATGTGCTATATTAGCTGTTGATATGAACTGAAATAAAGACAAGATTAATTGGCTCCAGGGCTACAACTCAATTAATCAGAACAACTTTTTTTTGTGTGTGTGAGTAATCAACTTAAATTGTTCCTCTAACTCAATGTGGTTTGCTGGTTGGACAATTTCATTAGAGGTTGCAATAGCACAAAAAGATTGATGCAAACATTTACATTTTTTTGTTGTTGAGCCAACACATTATTTTTAACTATATAATCTGCAACATGAACACTGGATATTCATTTTGAGATTTGCTAAAGATTACTCTTAATCAAAGTGCCAGAATGCTTAAACTGAGAAATTAAATGTTCAAGGAAATCAACCTACAAATGATTTACACTGTAGTAAATGCATGTCAACTAAATCTATACAAGTTCAGCCCTGAATGTATTTTTATTGACTTGACGTCGATGTCATGATGACCTGTGAAATAACGTGCTTTGTATTTTGAAGGTTTAAAGGAAATTATAAGGAGAAAACTGTGTAAAAAAAATTTGAGAAACTGAGAAAGAGCACAAATATTCAGTTTCAATAGCACTCAAGTGCAATTTCCCCAAATGATACTTAGCCTAAGTATAGTAATGAAGTACAATTACTCAAGTAGCTTACACCTCTGCCTGCAGCCCCATTCCAACATTGACTGGATAGCCTTTCTAGAAGAGTGGAAGATGCTCAAGGGATGGATTAATGCTTATATATATATAAAAAAAAATACATCACCTTCAAATAAGAAAGAACAAATCAGCTAATCTCAGGCTCCATCTCAGCAAGGTCATGACTTTATAAAAGCGCAATGCAGATATGGATCATTGGATGGAATATTCTTTCCTCTTCCTGGATCTGATCAACACTGCTGTCAAGCATTATCACTCGAGGAGAACTGTGTCATATGTGTCGTGTCAACACACAGACCTGCTTTCATTGCGCAGACTGAGGAAGATAAGGGAGCAAAATGCTTCTGTGAACAAACAGACACACATCTACAAGTCCCACATACTGAGCAATCAGAAGCGTGCTCATTGTTTACGTTAGATGAAATGAAAACACACTGTCAGACTTTATCAAGAGTTTCATTTTTACCACAGGGGATACAGGTGAGTGATGCACTATGCTGGATGTCTGCAGACTTTCATTATCAGCAATGATTCATCGCAGACTTGGTCTTGCATAGCCAAATTTCTGACTAACTGCATAAAGTCAGATCCAGAATCACCTATTTATACATAAGAGACAGTCAGGAAGAGAATATGTAAAGCAATAGAGTTTGCTTTGCTTTTATGTGTGGTTGAGGGGTGTGTTTATCTGAAGTAACTGACACTACAATAACAGATCAGTGAAAAACTAATTCAAATAATTGCACATCAGTGTCGCTGGTCAGCAATTAGTACAGAAACACTAAAGAAATTAGCAGAAATGTGTGTAGAATATGTAGTGAATTTGCTTTCGCCAACCTAGGGAAGCGAAATAGTGTAGTGATGGGTACTCACGTCACCAATGACGTTATGATTTTCGGATCACGTGTCACTTAAGGTGTGGTTATTATGAGTACATCAGATAAGTAATATTGGTGGGATATCTAACTTGTAGAACCTCTTACTGTATTATCAACACAATAGTAATAAAATACATTTTATTAACAAAAGATAGACAAGAGTAATCAACAACTACTAAATGAATACCATAATTGAAAAAGGAATAAAGTGCATAAGATGCATAAAATGCAAGTGATTCAGTTGGGTGTTGCTATGGTAGAGTTATGTTATCTTCTGAAAAGATCAACTGAAACTGATAAGGTAAAGAACCCTATTATGCATCAAACAAATAAATCGAGATAGTATTTGTCATTAACTGACATCAGCTATATAACATCTAATGTAAATTAGGAAATCATATAGTGATAATATAAAAACAGTATCAAGGTCTCTGGAAGATGTTTGGTTATGGAATATTTACGTTCTCTGTGGTCAAGTGAGCAGTCTGGTGGTGGTGACTTGTTCCGCTGGTTGTGCTGGTAGCAATGCAGTGGGGAAAGAAGCAGGAATCCGTTTCAACAGATTTGAACTATTAGCGCTGTAGGATGCTGATCTCCTGGAGCACCAAAGAGTCGCAGACGTGGCCCTGGAGTAGGTACAGAAGGTCCGTAGCCTGGAACACAGACTAAAGTACCTTGAAATGAAGGTTAACCTTGTTACAAATGTCTGTATGTCTTCTGCCACTCTGGGCTAGAGACTCTGAACTTGGTCAATCCACATTGTCTCTCTAGGATGGAGATTCAGGACGTGCTGCATCTGTTGTTGTCTCACTGGACTAAGACTCTGAACATAGAATATCTATTTCCTCACAGGCTGGAGGCTCAGAACGTGGTCGTATCTGTTGCTGCCTCAAAAGCTGAAGACTCAGGACTTGGTATCTGTTATTGCCTCCTGCCTCATGGGCCAGAGGCTCAAAACGTTGGTGATCTGTTAACATCTCTTCCATTACAGGAATGAGACTCAGAACCAGGAGTGTCTTTTTGAAGGGTATACCTTAATCCCTTTCCGATGAGGAGGAGATTGCAATTTGGTGCCTCTCCATTTCCGTGCTGTGATTGGACATTTCCATTAGAGCGGGAAAACATGGTGTGTCCCACCCTTCTTTTCTCCTGTGCAACTTATTTGCACAGCCCAAACACAAAGTTAGAAAAGTGTCACTAAAGTTTTACCAGTGCTTTTCTCACTTACCAAACCATTACCAGAATACCTTTGTCAATGACTACGTTTACATGGACATCAGTAATCTAATTATTTACCTTATTCTAAATAAGCCAATATTATGATTATGGTGTTTACATGAGTTGCTTTTAGAATATTCCTTTCATGTTCCCGTTTTACATGTTATAGTACATAGTTTGATTAATGGCACACGTCATTACATCCCCACGTGATGCCATCCGATGTCCCCTCCGGAATTGCACTTCAGTAATGCGACTAAAATAGGAATACTCCACATGTCTTAATTCGATTTCTGTATACTTCGAATATGACTTTAACCGGATTAAGGTAATAAAAAAATCTCTGTTTACATGGTAGATTCTTAATCAGAGTATTGTCTTAATCGTATTAAAATCGGACTATTGTTGTCCATGTAAACGTACTCAATGTTACAAACGCATTAAATCCAAACATGATGGAAAAAGATTGAACTGTCATGCATGCATTAATTTGCCCATTAAAAGCTAAGTTTGTGTAAGATGTAACACTACACATCGCTGTCACTGAGAATAGTTATTTCTCTGAATAGGAGGGTGTGTTGTAGTCTGCATCAGTTTTTAGGTTTGAAAACATAGTTATGAATGGATTTGGATGGATCTGTGTGATCTTTCTTTGTTTCACCCACTGCTGGTGCACCCTGGAGGTCCTAAGGCATTTTTTATGGCAGTCACAAGCCAAAACCTTAGGTCTCTAGGTGGGTAAAGGGCAGAACCTGCATTTTGACCAATGAGAAGTCCTATCCTTTCCGGGCTTGGTACCAGAAATCATCTTTTTGCCCTCTAAGAGGTGTCTGGTTGCTGTCATTGCATCTTTATGTGATGGCGTTGGACAGTTTGCTTAGTCCACCAAGAACCAATCAAAATGTAGCATACCTTTGTCCACTGTCGTGGTCAGAGAGGGGCGATAATTTTTAACATGCATTTTTTTTAGTAACAATAAAAACACTAAACTTCTTCTACTGTGTAGCCAGATGCAATGAATCCAACAAAGAAAAAGGAATGCAATGCAATTCAAAGATTGAATCAATTCTGTTCGGCCATACTATTTCTTTCTAGACTCCGAAATAACCGTGTTGTGGATACATCACAGTTGTACGAGGTTCATTGATTATTAACCTCAGAAGAGATGTTTGTGATTGGTGTCAGGGTGTCACGCAGCAGAATTCACCTAATCTCACCCTGTTCAGTACTGCCTGATCTGCTTTTATAATGTGAACCTGTGCAGCTACTTGAAGGCACCACGACAGCGGATGTGTCCAGAATCTTCTATGTCAAAACTGAATGTGAACCTTTACAGAGGAATATTCAGCTACCTTCAGAGCTGTAGAACAGTGGGCAACATCTCATGTGGCTGTCCAATTACACTCCACTTTCATTAAAAGAAGGAAAACTAGACTGTAAATAATGATAGTAAAAATCAATTTTGAAAAATCACCATTACTAATGCTCATACTTAAGGATTTTATAAACGTATAAAACTATTAAACTTCAACTCAAATGCGTACAATACACTGTTTATTATATGGACATAAATAATACTTCAAATCATGCAGCTTGTTGAGAGTTGTGATATTACTTTTGTACGCGATCAGCAGGCCCGGATTGGCTAAACGGGAGCACCGGGAAAATTCCCGGTGGGCCGGTCTGTTTTTTGACCGCGAGGGCCGGTACTGTCATGCCACTGCTATGGGGTTGAAATATGGATGCCCATATTCAGGGGATATTTGATATATATTTGAGGGGATACGTCTTTCACTATTGTAAGTTAAGGCTGTTAAATAGAGGGGGAAATACTTTTTTTTTTTTAAATTAACTTCTAGCACATAACTTCTAGGACCTCATTTTATTGAAGTAGAAATCCAAGCACCAGAAGCAGCCCACACTCAGCCCACAAATTTTCTTTAATTGAAAAATATGCATTTTCATTCATTCATAGGCTATATGGTTGCAATAATAGCTATTTTAGTTCAAAAAAATGTAAGTGCATAGACGTTTCATAGACGTTCAGTTGTTATGCTTTCAAATTTATTGCCATTTGTATGCATGTAATTTCACAGTATTTTCACCTCCTAAATTACTACACTACTTGTGCAGTCACGATTTTATAATGGTACAAATTACTCAGGCCGATGACTTTTTAAAAAATTTTTATGACATTAAAACTATTTTTGGAATATAGGTTAAGCAAAACAAATGTGATTATTTCTGAGAACTTTTTAACTGCAGGCAGACATTATGGTACAGTAGGCCTACAAACATTTTTTTGGAGATATGCGAGCAAAAGATAATAGATTAAAAAATGTATAATAGAAAGCGCAAAGGCGGCGCTGAAAAGGCCAGTAAAATAATAATTAAAAAAACAAAGCTGTAGAAAAATATAATGAATTACAAGTCTGTAGAGAACAGTGCGCTGTTGCAGACTTATATACTGAAACTACAGTATATATATTTTTACTAGAACTTCCCTAGTAAAAAAAGTAATATATTTAAAATACATTCATTTCATACTAAGTATAGTTCAAATCTATTAACATATTTACTGACATATCGCTCAAGACTTACTATAGAATTATAATTTAAACTTTATTTGGAGTACTACTTGTGCAAAATGCACATTTCTTAATTTTAAGCCTAAAATGTGTTTTAATGTCACTATTGATGAGGAGGACTGAATGATCTTTGAATAATATCGGTTTTTAAAAGCAAGATATTTAAAGTGTAGCTGAAGTATACTTGCAATAATTCCACTTCAGCACAATCAAATATACTTAAGTGTATCTTCAGTTGGACTTCAGCACTGCTTCCGCACAATTAAAGTGCATTAAGTACAACATTTGTTGTTCCATTTTAGCAGACTTTAAGTATACCAGTTTAGTACCAAAAGTGCAATTGCAGGGTATTTTTATTATGTAAATGTATTTGAAGTATACTTAGCATGAAATAAATGTATTTCAAGTGCATTTCAATATATTTATTTTTCACTAGGGTTACATTCGAGGAACAGTCAGACTTTAGTTTAAGTTATATTATTCTATTTTGATCAAATCAGTTAATAAATAAATAATTGCTTTATTTATAAGACATTTACAATGTTACAGAAGATTTTTCAAATAAATACTTTTTTCTTTCGATCATTCGATTCAAAGAATCCTGAAAAATTTAAATTTCCACAGAAATATTAAGCAGCACAACTGTTTTCAACACTGATAATAACAAGTGTTTCTTGAGCAAATCAGCATATTAGAATGATTTCTGGTGGGTCATGTGACACTGAAGACTGGAGTAATGATGCTGAAAATTTAACTTCAGTATCATTAATTTTTTTTCTTCAACATAATTTATTACCATCACAGTAATAAATTACATTTAAAATATATTCAAATAGAAAAGTAATTTAAAATTGTAACAATATTTCACAGTATTATTATTTTACTGTATTTTTGATTAAATACATGCAGCAACATACACATAAATCAATAAATCAAAATATAAAAAGTAATATTCATTGGATTTTTTATTAATTTATTTCCATCATCATAGTAAATCATTTGTGTGTGTGTGTGAGAGAGAAATATGCTAATTGATAAATCTACAGCTCTAATATTTATGTATGGAATAATTGATGACGGGCCATTGAATTATTAGAAAATAATGCACACCCGAGGTGGTGATGTGACAACAAATTTCTTACATGTAGGATTAATTTCTTACGCATCTCGCCCCACGCCTCTGTTGCTAATTCCCAAATGTCATTTTAGACCTAGTAACGGAGGCTTGAGCCGTTGATAGCAGACTAATGCAGTTAATAATGCAGTTATGAGAAAGAGAGAGAGAGAGAGAGAGAGAGAGAGAGAGATTAAGCATATGTGAATCACCTGAGTCTGTGTGTCTCTCAGCAGTGTTCGGCAGCAACTTCTCTACTAATATCGAAACTGTAAGTTCATCTGTTTGAAGAACAGTGCTATATTACCTCGCTAGTGAGAAATGTCATGAAGCTTTTAAGTTTCTAAACCATTTTACTGATATAAATGTCAGAACAGCGCTGACAACACGTTTCTGTGTGCGTGTATGTTTGTGTGTGTGCGAGTGTGTGTCAGTACTGTGTGTGTGTGCATTTGAGTGTGAGAAAGAGAGTGTGCTTTCCATACTTAATTAAACGTAATTTAATTGGCAAAAACATGGAAATAATTTGTCATTTTGTATCATACGGTTTACTATATTTATTTGCTTGGTCAGTGTCGTTGTGGGTTTTGGTTCTTTTGCTGTTGTAGGCTGTCAGGACCTTCGAAATAACTGAAATAATTTAGCAAAGTGATATGGACATGTAATGCTGATAAGACCTGCCTGGAACTACTTTAGCCGTGCATTTCCCTGAAAATAACTACACACCTTAGAATGTTCGTCAACCAATCATATTCAAGCATTCAACAGCCCCATAGTATCTATCTATCTATCTATCTATCTATCTATCTATCTATCTATCTATCTATTTTTATTATATTATTTATTTATTTTTTGATGTTTTGCCTTCATTCAATTTACTGCTTAGGAGAAATTCATTCAACCCTAACCTATGATAGTATAAAATTATTGCACATATTTTACAGATGACATAGCGCTTGCCGGTTTTAATGTTGTGGCTGGTCAAGCAAATGTTTGTGCTTGTGTCTGTATGATATAATTGTTCATAGGCTATATCTATTAA